GATGTTCTTGTCAGCCGTTACTGACTCAGCTCCGACTCACGGCAACCCATGGACAAGAGAACCCAACGCCGCCCGCTCCAACACCGTCTTCACAGTTGGTATGTCTGAGTCCATTGTTGCAGCCATGGTATGTTCTGAATGCCTTCCCACTCAGGGGACTCATCTTCCAATACACAATATTGGACTGTGTTCTGTTGTGATCCACAGGGGGCTGATTTTCAATAGATCACCAAGCCTTTGTTCCTAGTTTCTATCAGTCTGGAAGCTCCCCTAAAAGCCACCCACCATGGGTGATCTCGCTGGTATTTGTGATCCCAGTAGCATAGCTTCTAGCATGGTAGCAACATGCAAGCCACCACAGTATGACAGACTGACAGGATGATGAACTTATTTTAGGGCTCTCCATCGGGCCGACTGGACGGCACATAACAAAACAACATCATCGGCCCATGGGTCACTTGAGATGGAGCAGCAGCACCACCTAGTGGCCACAAGCAGCAGCAAATGATTCACTGGCCAAATGAGCAGCTAGTCTGAGTTGGACGCCTGGGAGGTCACCCAGCCTAACCATCCAGTCATGGCTCGCATTTGGCCCCAGCACCCTCCAGGAGCAGCTTTCCTGTGCACTGCACTGGAGTGAAAGAAGGGCATGAAAATCAAAACAGGAGAAAGTTCTTAGTGGGGTGTGCCTCAGGCACAAAGTGGTGGAAAAGCAGTGTCCCCATCAAATCTAAAGACAGAAAGTAGACCAGTGGTTGCCTAGAACTAGGGAACTAGGGGATGAGGGGTGACTGCTAAAGGGTCTGTACCGGGTTTCTTTTGGGGGCAAAAATATGGAGAAATTGGAACCCTGATACATTGCTGGGGGAAATGGAAAAGGGGGCAAGCCACTTAGGAAGTTTAGCAGTTGCTCAAACTGTTCAACATAGTTACCATATGACCTATCAATCCCATTCCTGGGTATATACCTAAGAGGATTTAAAAAGGCTCTCACATTTGTACATGAATGTTCCTGAGCAGTGTTCGTAATAGCCAAAATGGGACACGTGGATAAACAAGGTGTGGTATGTCCTTACAACAGAGTAATTATTCAGCCACAAAAAGGAATGAGGTACTGACACATGTTATATGCAGGGGCAGATAACTCGATCAGCAAGGTAAGCATGGGCTTACTTACTAATCTGTAGTCGTTTCCCATGTGAAACTGTCCACTAGATTTGTAAGCACAAGTAAGCCCTTGTGTGGTAGTTAAGGTTGTGTCACCTTGGCTGGGCCTGGCTGAGTGGCTGGGCAGCTGGATGTAGTTATTCCCCAGGATGAGACGAGTAATCAACTCCACGTGGAATCTACTGCAGCAGCTGAGTAGCTGCTCTTAGGGATGTGGTCTGCTTCCCGGATATAAGCAGCAGCTCTGAGGATGGTCTCTACAGCCTTTTGGCACACCTGGACCCGGTATATAGCTGAGTCTTCATTCAGCAGCCTGCCATGCTCCGCCTATCTTGGGATTGTGCCTTTTTACTTGTTGACCTTGGGTTTGTCAGCCTCAGCAGTCAGCAGCTGCCTGAGTGAAGAGACGCCTCCAGCTTCAGAGGGCCAGGAGCAAGAGGCAGAGCTGAAGCCAAAGGTCAAAGGGCTTTCATCCAGCCCCTAGAGCTGGCACTTTGAACTTGGACTTCTAGCCTCCTAAACTGTAAGAGAATAAATCCCTGTTGATTAACGCCACCCATTTGTGGTATTTTCTATTAGAGCAGCACAAAGTAACTGATACACTTTGCCTTCCTTGCTTACTGGCTACTCTGTCCCTGTCAGGGACTAAATCTGAAAAGAGGTCTTGATTCTGTAGGAACATGCTGTGGGTTTGGGAGAGACCAATCATACCCAGCAGCAGTATCTCTGATCTTTTTGGTGAGAAAATGTGAAATTGTTCACTACAGATTAGTAAGCACAAGTAAGCCTGTGCTTACCTTGCTTATTGGGTGAACTGACACTGGTTACATGGATGGATTTTGAAATTATTCTAAGTGAAAAAGACAGACACAACGGCCACATAGTGTATGACTGGTTCCATTTATATGAAAATGCTCAAAGAGGCAAACGCAGAGAAAATCGATTTGTGGTTGCCAGGGACTGCAGGAGAAGGGAGTGGGGAGTGGCTGCTAGTGGCTCAAGGTTTCTTTCTGGGGTGATGGCTGCACAACTCTGTGAAAATGCCCAAAACCAAGGAATTAAAAAGGGAAAGAAAAGGGATGAGCGTGGGACCCAACAATATGCTTTTTAAAGCAGCCTCCCAGCTGGGCTCATGCAAACTGACACATCAGCACTTACTATGGTCGTTCATCAGGATTAGAAGGTAAATTTAAAAAAACCTCTAAACTCACTGCCGTCAAGTCGATTCTGACTCATAGCGACCCCTCCTTGGGTTTCTGAAATAGATCAGGAGGTTAAACACAGCCCCCACTCTGTCTCTACATAGTGCTGACCAGTTTGTGGCTAGAACCACAACATCCCCAGGGAAACAGCACAGCAACACATTCAGAGGAATGAGACATTCAATCCTCACAACCCTGAGGTGGGTGTTATGAAGCCCTTTCAACAATTAAGTAAACTGAGGCACAGAGATCTGGAAGCTAAGTAAGTGGCCTGAGGTTGGCAGCTAGTGAGGGATGTGGCCAGGTGTGAACACGGCTTTCTGGGGCCCAAGTCTTTGTTCAAAACCACTGTACTCCAGGCATGTGAGTTAAACATTTACCTCAAGTAGACACACGCCCTGGAGAGAACAATCATGGGAGAAGGAAGGGCTGCTTATGCACAGGGAGATAGCTCAGGGTGCAGAAGAGTATGAAGGGATGGACACTGGGAAGAGGTAACTATGGGGAGGAAGTGGAAGGGGAGCTGTTGCATTGTAAATTTTGGTCAATGACATGAGACAAAGTATATGTGAACTGCTGTATGAAAAGTGAATTTACTCTGTAAATCTTCACCCAAATCAAAATAAAAAAAAAAAAAAAACCACTGTACTCAATGCCCTCCACTTACCCAACTCACGAGATCCAAAGTTGTAGTGAGAGAAACACTGAAGTGAAAGTACTATGAAGTAGCAACTAAGGAGACTGATAAAGGTATCGCGCTGGGACAGCATCTCTATGGTTGTCCTCTGAACCTGTTCCCTGGGAACTGTCAATAGAGTCGGCTAAGATGGAGGGGAAAGGAAGCAGTTCGAGACATTCAGAAGCACACGGCTGTCCTCTCCTTCCTAAGCAAGCTCTTTATTGTCCAACCAATCAACAAGCGTTTAATGAGCCCTAGCATCGTACCAGGCACATTGTACTACACAACAGACAAAAGTCTACGACGTCCCTGCCAACTTGAGGCGTACAATCTAAATACTTCTTGGTAATTACTCCATGTTACAAATCACATCTGGACTTAGTTGCCAGGACTGCACCAAACACTCTCTAAAGGAAATATTTTAAAGAAAAACATTACACTCCACTTATCATAGGATGAAATTTTTTCCCTAGTAATGTCATCCATTTTCTTGTTACCAATATGCAAGGTTTACTTTTGTTCCAATTCACCTTCATACGCCCCTCTCCTATGTAGTTTGAATAAAGACTTTTGAAAAAGGACATTTAAAAGGGGAAGACAGTGGGCGTGCTCAGGTACAAATCTGGCCACCAGCTGTCGGGACAAAACAAACTCTAGCTACCGAGTGGCCCCAGCCCCACCAGGCCGTTCTTGTTAGTGTTCTGAGGACAACATAAAACATGACTGCCATGGCCCAGAAGACACCACTGCCATCCCAAAGGGGGAGCCATAGAGACCGGTCTAGACTGGAGAGGCATTTTTCCTAAGAAAATTTAGCACCAACTTGGGGGTAACACCAGGGGTTACTAGGAGTCTCATCCCCAAATCAACCTCCTGATTCTGGCACAAAGCCCCAGAACTCACAGGTGTGTGTTTCTGGGAACAGAAGCTAATGGAAACTCTAAGTTGGACTAAGATCACTACATACGGTGACAATTCCCTCCCAGGAGGGACCCCTCACTTGGAGAGCAACACACTCAGCGCAGAGCAGTGGGAGCAGCAGCCTCAGGGCCCTAAACCCCGTAGGTGAGGCACCAACACAAACAGGACCCGCCCCTTCACTTCCCTCACGTGACCCTCCAACAGACTGCACTCCAACAGAGCGCCATCGTGTCCACGTGGTTGCTGCCCAAACGCTCTCCAGTCCGCGTGGTTGCTGCCCAAACGCTCTCCTCTCCAGAGACAAGAAAGGGAAGCACTGG